GCACAATGTAGCCTACTTGTTACAGAGATTTGCTCTGACTGTGATTTTTCATCAAAAATGACTACAAAATAGGACAATGGTCTTCTTCAGCTTTTCTTGCTGATCAGCTGATCAGCTTTCAATATTACAGGGAGTAACGGGACAAGAAGAAGCAGCTAAAGTGAGCTGTCGGATAGCTACAGGCGACAGGGATGCATATCAGGCATATGCAGCCTGATGGAAAAAGGACAATTACTGACTGACTTCCTTATTAAAATAGTTTGTTTGGCTGTCTTGTAAACCAATACACCTATTGCTATTCTGTTATATTTCTGACAAAGTAGCAAAGAGTAATTATTTCCCCCAGAAATCTGGGACTTATAGTATCAAACCACACAAACTATGGTTAGTCTACTCACAGTACATTATGTTGTTTTCCTATATAGCCTATGCTCCAGAAAAGCCATTACACAACACATAAACCCATGCCTTGCCACAAGGAATCTTTTGTTTCTCCCCACTAATCTCATTAGCTTTAACTAATGACAAACAGTATTTAAGTCTGTATCTATCGGTTTTCAATACATAACTCAGAATATGATGAATGCACACTCACTCAGGCCTTTCTATAAGAGGCTATACTGTGCGAAGAATCACACACACACACACACACACACACAGCTGGCCATTATATATTGTACGATTCCTACATAAAGCACAGCAAAGCAGAGGGGGAAGGAAAATAGTAGAAATATAATTCATGATAACTAGAGCGCAGGGCAGAGACTCAGGACTCCATTAGGTGCTAATAGATTGTCACACCTCAGTGTTCCCCCGAAGTACGATTACACCAGCCAGAGATTGGACAGGAGATTGACAAGCATGAGAGAAATGGATAACCAGAGAGTGTGAGGCGAAGCACCAGACTGCTACAAGGAAGCAGAGGGAATAAAAACACAACAAGTACTTGAGTAATGTTAGAAGGAAAAAAACATCATTACCCAGAGGTACTACTACCCTTTTCCAATCAAAAACAGAAGGCAACATGGATGAAGGTTCCTTCCCTTCGGAGTCCCCTTACAAAATGCCAAGTGGCTGCCATCTTAGGTAGAGCGTTGATTACATTTCTGTTCTTAACTCTTTGGAGCTCATGAAACTGCTTTACCTGCTAGACTGTTTATGTGCAAGCCATGCGTTTGTCAGATCTCAGAATATGAGACGGCCGTGTCTGACAGAAAGAAAGCATGAAGGGAAATGGGAAATCAAAAGCGCGCTAAAAGATGAGAATGGGACGAATGAGTAAAAGAGGGACTGATCCAGAAATATAGAGAGGGGAGTGGCAGGCTGAATCTGAAGGAGCGGCTCAGCTGGATACAGTGTAAAAGGCAAAGAGAGCTCTAGAGGATAGAGGAAAAAGGGAGGAGGGAATGAAAAAAAAGGAGGAAGTAAGAAAAGGGCAAACAGGAAGGAAGAAAGGTCCATGAAAGGAGAGCTCATCTTGTTAGCATCCTGACGGTGTGACAATGAATCCTGCCCTTTTAGCTCAGGCATAGTATTATGAGGGAGGGCATAGCCTGGAGGTATTGTTTTTCACACTCTCTCTCCAACAGACTTCACAGTCCATTACACCTCACAGGATTGTCAATGTGCTGCACGGTACAGGACAACCAGTACCCCTCTCACTGGATACCAAGTTAGAAAAGCTTGTAAATGTGTATGAGCTAAGTGGGTGGAGTCAGGATAAGCATTACACAATTTCTTTGTTTTGTGTCAAATGTCTGTTGGACAGACGTAACTGTACATTTATTTCAAACAGTGTGGTAGTTCTAGCAAACGGTCCACATTTGTCCCTAGTTCATCACTTCTAAATATTCTCTAAAATCACGTAACGTTATGGAAGCTAACGCTGCCCTTTGCTAAATTAGCCACAAAGCTAATGCCATGTTTCAGTGGAGGAGCGCTAACGGTAACGAGCCATTAAAATATAGTTTCTGACCTATTCTAAATATATCTGCGAGCCGCTTGTCTGCAGTTAGTCGGCGTGTCTGAAATGATTAAACCAGAGTGGACATGTAAATAAACGTGAGCTGAAAAAGAATCTAACATAGCTTCCTGTAGCTCCTCTTTTTGTAACGTTGTAGATGTGAAACGCTATAGTCAGAGCCGTAACTGCTCTGGTTGTAGTTATAACGTTAGTTAAATGAAATCTCAAAGTTGCAGGTCCTTATTGTACACATTCCTGAAGTACTAGATGCATTCAACAGCAGCTCACTGTATCCTAGACGGCAGGATTTGTCCCAATGGTGGTTAAATGGTTTCACATAGCTTTGGTTAGAATTAAAGAGTGCTGGTAAAGGGATTAACTAGATGTGAATATGCTACATTGAAATTATGGCAGATTATGTGTGAAGTGAAATACACATGCTAATTCTCTCTCACTCTCTCTGTTTACAGACGGCTGAAAAAGTTGCACCTTCCAGTAGCAAATATTTATTGATTGTTGTTTACACGTTCACTTTTTCAGACTGTAATCGATTTTATTAACATAATCCATTTAGGAAAAGGTTTTATAGCCCACATACATACCAGCTTTCAATATCGGCCTGTACTAAGTGTAGTTTATACTGTAAAGGGGTCTACTATCATTCTTAAAATCATAAATTGTCTCTTTTTCACTTTAATATCAGCATCGGCCCCCAAAATCCTATATCGGTCGGGCTCTAATTCATACTGCAAACTAGTACTATTTTCATCTCACCAGAAATTTTAGGTCCATCAGAGTTTCACTGAGCGGTGCTGCACCTTGAGGGAGGAGTCATGATTCTGGTCCATGCTTTCATGAATAGGGATCAAAAGCCGATGTTCAACAAATTGTAAGAACATATTGTTAGTATTCATTTGAAGTTGTGTTTGTGTCCAATTATCACTATTCTTTAACGGTCTGTTTTGTTGTACACCAGAAATATCAGGCTCTTTAGCTGCTGAAAAAGAGGGTGAGAGTGAAGGGAAAAAAAAATAAATAAATAAAACACAGTTAACTTGAGTAAAACCAGACAGATGTGGCCAGTAACTTGACAATATTATTTCTTGTTAGACACTTGTAGACACTCGACTGTAGATTGCAAGGACATACATGATACAAACAGCTAATGAATAAATAAATAAACATATAGGTATGTAGGGGAATTGAGGATCCATTGCTGGTTAATGGATGCTTCTCCTCACAGTGGGACTCTCTGGTGTAGTATGGCAAATTGATTAACATTAGTTCAGCAGATGCTTGCTTCCATTATGTTTCCAGTGTAATTTCAGGGTTGCTAACATAGTTAGCAAAGCAGGATGTTACTGTTGTTATTGCCCATTCTAAATATCAGATTATATAATTCAACTTGGTGTGTTGATTAGTTTCATCATTTGGCGCTGACTTTTTTGAAATCAACAACAGCAAGCAGTGGAACGAAATTGTGATCACAGATACAACTGGCTATAGGCCTGTCACAATAATTATGTTATCAACTTATTGTACAATATACATTAACTCAACCATTTCTGCTGACCTCGATATTGCTCGTTGTGTTTACATGCATGTTTGTTTACATGCATGTTTGTTTACATAAGAATGTAACCAACATTTTTGCCATGGTGCCAGAATAATCAGCAGGGTTTTCTCTACCACATTGCTTCTGTCTTTGTCTGCTCACTGTGAGGTTTCACAGTGGGCGGGGCTCAGATAGCTCCACACACATATATTTTCCAACTTGGGGACTTCTTGCTAGATTTAGTGGCTTTTCAGACCCTTTGGCGACTTTACTTCTTCAAAGCAACTCAGCAATAAATTTAGCAACCTATTCAGACCATCGTGGAAAAGGAGAGAAATATATATACAAATATATTGTACTGTAATTCATTCCCATGCATGCTACACGGCTCTTATGCCAACTTTTCTCTTGCACCCGTGTGCATGTAGGATTGAGCTTCTTTCTCAATCTCTGGATCTTTGGATAAGAGTGTTTGTAAATGTGGAAATAGTTTGATCAAGATTTCTCTATGTACCCCATCTCTTTCTTGCTGCAACCGACACAACCCCTTATGCTTTATGCAAATGACTGCGATGCAAATGAATGGCTTTAAAATGACAATAATATTGTTTATTGCAATTATTGCTGGAACAATATATAGTAGAACAAAAGTAGTTACAGTGACAGGCCTGACTGGGTATTATTATAGCTTTTAAGTTGAGTTGAGCGACACATTACTGCTTCAAGTAATAACCATAACACATCAGGGTTGTGTTGACTGCCACAAAACAAACAAAAGCAATGCACAAAACCAACATCCTGCAAGACTGAAACCACAAAGCACACTGATATCACAGGATCAGGGCTGCATAGTCCGAATTTTTGACTCGCATTTGATAGATAACTGCTCAAAATAATGTTAATAGCTAGTAAAAAAGCAATAACTAAAAAATGGTGGAAGGTGGAACCTCAGAAACAGTGGGAAAGATACTGTAGATAAGAAATTGAGAGGGGGAGGGTAGTATCTCCACAACACAACTTTTTACTCATTGTTGATTCCTTGCTCTTGGTGCTGCAAACATCCTTACTACCTACAGGTACTGTTTAACAATGAGCTGAATGCCATAAGTTCAGGGCTTTTCTCTGAGAACTGATAATATATAATCCTTATTTGTAGAGCACTTTTCAAAAACATGGGTACAGGAAATCTCCCACTGAAATTAGAAGCAGCTTGTGGGAAACCAAAAACCAATTTAACAACAACAACAACAACAACAACTGAACACTGTACAAAAGTTCAGATCCTGATAAGTTTTCACTTTAACAGGCACAATATGAAGCAATGACTGCATACATTTGGGCCAACAACAGAGCAAATAAAATATGTCATGTATGATGACTCAAATTCTTTAAATAATTGTTTGAGATCTCAGTGAGAGTTTGCTATTCTTTCAGTAAGAAAATTGTCCTTAAAGAAGACTAAAAGCGCCTTTGCATACTCACGTAGGAAATGTTTCTCCAATAAGGCAATTTCCAGGTGACCTTTGACTTCATTGAGTCGGTCTGATTCCAACCTCTGGAAGTCCTGGATGGCCGCAGCCATGGTGGGAGACCCCGAACCTGCCTGTGCACACACACGCACACACATTTTGCATACAGTACATATGCACACACACCCACATTCACATTCCGACACACACAAAACAAAAGATGATGAGATTTGGCTTTAGAATTAAAAAAATTACTTGACAACAAAATCCATACAAGAGAGCGCACAAGTAGGGATATCCCATGTGATCTAACACATGCAAACACAAATACACACACAGATTAGCACGGCGCCATGACTCACGCTAACGTTTCCTGTCCCGGTGTAAGTCCAGCTGGAGCGAGATAGGAGGAGGAAGGCAAAAGAGGAGAATCCCTCTCTTCTGACTACAGCAGCAACACTGATGACTCACACACCTCTGACTAAGGGCTTTAACCCTGACACGCACAGCTAGCAACACAACATCTGTGTACGAGGACAGTGTGAATGACAAGGATTGAAAGGTGACGACTTTGTGAGAAAGGAGAGGAATGAGGGACAAAGTGTTAGGGGGAAAAAAGGAGGGATGAGTGGGTGATGGAGGGAGAGGAAAGGAAAGAGCGAGAGGAGAGGAGAGGTGGCTGTGATAGCGGATGATGAGCACTGCAGGTTGAGCATCGCTGCTCGACTACAGCAAGGGTCCTTTAAAAGACTCCTGCCACACGCGCACACACACTCTGCAGCAGCTTTTCCCTGACAGCAACCAGCATGGTTTGTGTGTGCCTGCATAGACACACTGCAATGTATTTAGCTGATGTACTCTCTGCAAAAGAGAGAGCACACAAGGGAGAGAGGGAGAGAGAAAGAGAGAGTGTGAAAAAGAAGGAAAGGAGGAAAGAGAGATATAGCACTAAACTGACATTGACCTGAAAAAAATGGGCTTTGGGAGAGAGCCAAAGTCCAACAAGGCATGCGGAGATATAAAGACACCAATATGGAGAGAGTGTCCCTGAATAAAGAAGCACTTCAAAGAAAACAAATGAGAGCCCCGTCTAGAAGTGTGTCACGGAGAAGAAAAAGGGTGTCGACCGAGAAAGAGAGACACCGAAAGAGAGGGAGGGTATGAGAATTAAATAGATGCAGGGGATAAAAGAGAGAGAAGGCGAAAGAGATAGACAAGGACGTCGTGGAGGAGATGAAAGGAGCAGACAGTGGGAGTGAAAGTGGAAGTTTTGCTGCATTGCTATCGCTCGGCGACAAAGCTCTTTGGCTTGGAATTTGTCAGCTTTGTTTGTTTTTTTCCCCCCCAAAATGTCAAAGTTGCTAGTGGTTTGATCCAAGGACAACACATAGCGTGAGAAAACCTTCATGTCGTTTAATGCTGTTGTCAACTCTCAGTCAGAACCTCCTGGTTATCAAAAGTAGGTCAAGCCCTGACGTCACCCTGGGCGATTATCGGCTGATTAATTATTGTGATCCCCCTCTCCCTCTTTCATGACTGTGGCTGATGTGGGCATAGGAATCGCACTCTGTCCTGCTGCAAAACTCCATTATCTTTTTATTACTGAATGCTGCAGACATGACCATAAAATGTATGCACACACATGAAAATCATCATCTCATGAAATTCTTAAAGCATCAGTGTCGTGTTTCCCACAGGATTTTAAGAGACTATGGGGGGTGGCCCTCAGACCCTCTCAAGTTAAATTAATTAATTTGGTGCAAAATTAAGAGGCTATCTAGGAACATATGAACATTTACAGTTGTTTTTTTTTACTTTTATTGACACATGTAATGTGTTTTATACTTTCTGTGAATATAATCCAATTAATCTTATTTCCATCCTGTATAGACACCTTTTGAAAAACGGATGTTGTCACATGTGTATCCTCGCCCTAAATTCATCATGTCTGACCCAATTTGATAAATAATGTTGTATGTGGTTCTCGTATCGCGTAACATGAAGACTTCACAGCCTCTCTTCAGGTAGGACTCTCATACTGCAACACTTGTCTTTGTAAAGAGAGAAACTGACAGGATAAAGTCGCTAACCAGCCTGTCAGCGCGCACTGGTCCATTTCAGTGGATTTACCATAAACGCTTTACTACGTGTGCACTCCAAATTTTGGTGTGGCTAGCTTAATTGCCTTCACAGAAACGAGTGACAGAAACAGACCGTAAACGTTATCATACTTCAAAAGAAAAGCGGTTGTCTCGAATCAGATGCCAAAGTGTGTGAGTGTACAAGCTTACAGCAGCATGGAGAAGCGCCCACAAAACACAACGTTAGAGGTCTGAAATTTTATGAAATGTGTAAAAAATATTTTCGGATAATTTTGAAACTGGTGGAACAAATTAGACTGTGAAGGGCCGCCATGGTTTCGTTAATTATTGGGCAACACTGAGTCAGAGCTACTGTACTCATCCTCACACCCACTCTGTTAGTACTGCTGAAGGTGCACATAAGGTCAGTGAGCACAACAGATTCTCTAAGCCCCAACTATTGTTAATATTCAATTTCATTATATAACCCGTTATACTGTTACAATAAAATGTACCCACGTACTTAAAACAGTCCCAGAGGCTAGATAATCGTTCTTAAATACTTTAAGTACTTCCACACTTGCACCACTGGACCAAATATTGCACCTCTCTTCTGTCCTGCTTCTCTTCAATGAGCTTGATGAACTCAAGATTTCAAATACATAATCTGAAACCCCTTTCTTTGCCTCTTGCTTAGAGATTTCTACTAACTGATCTCCCTAACCTCCTGCTCATGCTCGACAGTCATCCACTGTACTTCTGATTTTATTCGTTTCTCTCTTCATTCCATTTTTCCTCTCTCTGTGCTCGGCTCTCTGGAGGGACCTTGTCCATAGGGTTGTATGGTTGCCTCAGTGCAGAACTGACACAGAAATGTCTGGTTTATCCTAGAGAACAGCTCCAGGGATCTCAAACGCCTCGTCCATACTTTATCTTCTATGTTGTGAAAATGAGTGTGCTTTTAAGGCTCAGTGTGAGTCTCACAGTAGGAGGGGAAATACAGAAGGTGTGATTTCAAGGCCTTGTTCTGCTCATAAACACAAATAACACAAGTGACCTTCTCCATGTTGGGCAGATTGTTTGTCCAGCAGGCTGGTGGTAGCACTTCGAGCAGCCATGTCCAAATATGAAATAGATATCTGACAGACCACATTTGTGTACCAGTACTTGTTAATGCAATTTTTATTTTTTACTGTGTGTGGCTGTAAAGACATCCAGACAAATAGAGCATCTGCTAACTGCTTTAGAAAGGGTCATCTGGAGCCATTTACCAAATAAATAAGCCAGTGGAATAGTGACTATAATGTGTCAATATCAGGCGTTTATGGCACACTGTAGTATATTGTTGTGCTGTCAAATTATTAACTGTTTCACACACACACCCCAACTGAAACCAAACACCGTCCTCCCTACCCAACCTGCTTTCCTGTTAACCCTGTAATTTCCTGACTTGTAAAATGGAACGCATAACAAAATTGCCTGAGACAATGTCAAGATTTTTAGCAGAGTGTACAATTTTGCCATACTTGCACACATTTAAAAAGTCACTTTAGATAAAAGTTATGCTCAGACAAGACCTACATTCTCACCACAGAACACAAATCCGAACCACCACAGTGATTTAAGCAGCAGACTTCTTGGTAAAGATGACCACAATCCTCTGGAGCAGCATCACAATTAAAAGGTGAAATGCACAACTCTTAGTTAGTTGATGAAATTAAACCTGCATGTTTATATATACTACTAAGTCAAAATCATAATAAAATACCTGCCAGTTTGACGTTAGTTCATTTTTCAATAGAGATTAGATTACAGTTCTCAACGGTAAACGAATACAGTGGTGAACAGTTTTATTAACTTTTTCTGCCATTACAGAATTGATCTTTAGCCCTTACTGTGACACTGAAAAAGACAAGAGACTTGATTTTAAATCCTAAGGCTCAAGTACTCGTGACCCAGTATGATTTCAGCATGGAGTGGCATGTTGGAGAGCTGTTCATCACTGATAGTTGGTTAAGTGACTTGTACATGTAATTTTAAATACATGAAAGTGAGGCTTTGAGGGGCTTTTCATTTGAAAGTCAAATGCATCTAACCAAAATATATATATATATATATATATATATATATATATATATATATATATATATATATATATATATATACACACACACATACAGAAGGAAAACAGATGTACATGAATATGCTTAAATGTATGTTTTTGATAGGAATGCTCATTATTCAATAAAAAAATTGCCAATCAGGCTACATAATTGTGTTCTTAATTTAGTTATTAGTCATTCTAGTTAAACAAAGTTTTGAGTTGAGATTGAGAAAGGACCTCTATTTAGCATAAGGTTCTCAGATACTACTACAGATCTTTTAGAAGTTATAGCAGGTGTAATGAGGCCATACTGAATAGATTTCCAGTTTATTTACCCAACTAATTCTAACTTAAGTCCAAAAAAAAGGAATAACTTGTCTGCATTTTCCTACTGTGCTTTAGATAAATGATTCAATGACACAAAGTGTGACAGACGCAGTGAGGAAGCCACCTATTCTAGCAGGAACAGTGAGGAGAGGCCGGTGAGGTCGTATGCAGTCCTCTGTGTGATGACTGAATACCATCTGCCCAGTGACATTCTACCTATTTAGTATGGATGACACAGGCTAGTTTGTCAAAAACTCTCAGTGCATGTATTCTGCAGCCAAAGGCCACACGTTGCCCTCATTTTAATAGATGAGGCAACGAAGGTGATGTTCCTAGAGAGTGAAGAGACCGGTATCATTGCCGTCTAGGTGGGCTCCACTGTGTCAGTAGAGACCTATGAAGGGCACTTCACAAGGAAGATAAGAATTCCACCACGCAAGCTTTATGGGAGAAAGAAAGTTCATGCTGTGTGTGTGTGTGTGTGTGTGTGGTGTGTGTGTGTGTGTGTGTGTGTGTGATAGGCGCTAGCTTGCTCTATTTTGGGCCTTCAGAGTGTGACTCATCAGTGCCGCGATGTGGGCGATGCCTTCCCTGTTGGCTGGTATTCAACGTAGGCAAACACCACTGCACATACAGACATACAAACACCAGGCGGGCACAAGGGCATACATGCAAATACAGATCCATGTTGCACATGCCCACATGTATGCTAAAAGTGGCCATAGTCAGCTAAATCACAGAAAAAAAGCACATTTAATACTGTTTTATTCTTGTGGGCACACTGAGGCCTGGTGATGTTTTTTGTCTTTAAGTACCACACATTTACCACCTAGCCTTCTGCAGCTTTTATTCAGATGTCATATCTTCTGTTTTTTGAGGAGAAACAAAGAGAGAAAATGAAGCAAGATCCCTGGGGCCTTCATTCAGGAAATTATACAATCAAGTGACTAATCCAGTGTTTTTAAATCCTGGTATCTTGCCATCAGTGCAAGTGCATGATGATGACGACAATACTGGTGTTTTAGTCAACCAAAAGGGTGAGAGAGCTACAGATATCATGAAATATGAACAGTATGTAGCGTGGGAGGAAGAAATATCTGAAAACATGATCTGGATTTTTTTTTTTTAGGCTGGGGAGTTCATCTCCTCCACTCTAGACATCTCAGAGTCCAATCATCTGAGGCTCAATTCCTGTCCTCTAGTCTTTTTTTATCAATTTCCCTGCTTTAATCTTTTCTCTCCCATTTTTCATCCCCTTCCTGCTATCCAATATCTGTTCATCTCGCCACTGCTTTCACCATTTCTCCTCTTGTCTGCTGCTGATTGCTATATTGTCATTTTTATTTATCATGACAATCCCTCCCATTCCCCAGTATAAACAAAAACAAGTGGGATTACATCAAACAAAATAGTGTCCTTTTTTTAGCCATAAACATTTATTAAGCAAGCTAAAGATGCTAAAACAACATCAGAAAGTCGAAACAGGGGTTAGTGCATCTCCCTCCCTCTGTTGTTTGTGTTTCGCTGACATCAGAGCTTCCTTTTCAGACAGAATAATTCATGAGTACATGAAAAAAAATGCAGCCATGTTAGTTCGTCCTAGCCAGTCTAGGCTAAATGCATATATATAAAACCAAAAGTAAGATAACCATTTACTCAGTATGATAATGACGATAAATACAGAGACAGAGAGATATAAAGAGGGAGAGTGACAGAATATAAGAGAAATGGAATGAAAGATAAAAAAAAGGGAATAACCTAGGAATCAGTATAACCTAGGTAAAATCAAAGAACAAAAGAAAAAACACCTTTCTGCTTCCTCCATGAAACGTGATCAACTGCGAATGTGGCCACAAGTCAAGAGCCCAGCCCAAACACACACACACACACACACACACACACACACACATACACAGTATATGTAAGCACTCACAGGGTCTCGGAGGAGGTCCTCTGTGTCTCGCAGTGCTGCTCTGGGCTTCAGTTGCATTTCGTCGCTACATTCGTTGTCGGAGGCAGGTGGCGACTCGGCCAGATCCGGGAAGTCGTCTCTTGTCCTGGGGCCTCGAAAGCGGATCTTGTCCAGCCGCTTTAGCATGGTCAACACCGCGCACCTGGGCTTTACCTTAACATGGCGGACGGCAACCCTATGGGGACACAAAACACAATGGGTATTGTTAGTATGGCTGTGTGAAAAACTTTTTTCCCCAACCATATCAAAACCCCATATATAGAAAATAATATATTAGATTTTGGAGGGGTAGTGTTGTGTAGAAAGTACTGCTGACACCAATCACAGATATAGAGCATACAAAAATACATGTTTTACAGCTGGGGTCCCAGAGACCCCAAACTACATTAATGTGTCATTTTCTGTAATGGATCCCTGAAACATGTCGTCAGAATGATGTAAGCAACACTCATAATATTAGGAAACGTTGGAAATGATCAACCTTATGAAACAATATTATGTTTGTTTTTGAGCTATGAAAGAGGGCCAGGTCCAAAGAGGCTATTGGGGCTACAGAAGTACACAATTATAGGATTACCAACAACATACAATCTCCTTTGAATACCCACAGCAGTGTTTCCCACAGACAGACCTTACTTGGGCAGGCCACCCAGGTATATTTGGCGAGCACTTTTAGCATTTTGCAGAGAAAAACAGAGAGAGTTGTTATTCATTACGTTACAAGACGCAGACACAGAGGATATTTTACAAGCACGGGCCAGGTATAGCAACAGTGAACATATTACAGATGTCATTAGTTTCATTTTGATAGGCTACATCATTAACAAGCCTCCTCCACATGCGGCGCACCTGCTGCTGAAAACAGAATTGCGGGTAAAAAATCCAGAAGACCAGTTCTGTCTCTTTTCGGCAACTTTATAAACGTACTGCTGATGGAGAAAGTCAACAGAGCAGACACATACAGAGAGAGAGAGAGAGAGAGAGAGAGAGAGAGAGAGAGAGAGAGAGAGAGAGAGAGAGAGAGAGAGAGAGAGAGAGAGAGAGAGAGAGAGAGAGAGAGAGAGAGAGAGAGAGAGAGAGAGAGAGAGAGAGCGCGCTGGTGTGTTTGCAGCAGTGATGTAGGTGTGTGCGTGAGTGAGTGTGGGGAAAAGAGAACTGAAAGGAAAGGGAGCAGATTCTATTAGTGAGTAACAAAGACTAAAATAAGAATTAAAATGGTGAAATAAGAATTAAGCTAATAGAAGTTGTCTGTCATTCTGTGGGAAACAGTATCTTTGCATTTTTGACAAAACAAGACTAAGAGTCTACAGTCATGCTTTCAGTTTTTCATCTCATAGCTTATACTATGAGCTCTGCAAACTCCGTATTTATCTCAATCTGAGGTTGCTCGATCCCTACACCCATTCAAATTTCCGTACCACATTTTCCCCAAGGCAACATATGACATAACACACGCCAACCTCTAACCTTTCATTCTACTGAGTCTCTAACCTCATCAGTGTTTGCGTTCTGCTCTCCCCTTCAGCCTACACGGGAAGATGGAACCAGTAACCCTATTAGAGCCATGACAACCACATCCTTTCACTCCTCTGGCAAACGGTTGTCTGCAGCAGATATGCTGACCTTTTTACTGATTTTATTTATATAGCTGGAGCGGTGGCAGTAGTTGTGAGAGGCTGTGAAAGGCTTAATGGTGGTGTTTTGGTATCAAGGGCCGAGGTGTAACGATGACAGAACAGGGCGTGTTTTTGTCGTCAAACACAAGAGTCATAAGAGTCAAGCTACTGCAGCTTTTCCCCTGCCTTCAGCAGCAGTAGTCTGATACTGCAGTAAAATTAATCCCAATCATAGAAACTAAATACAGACATGGTGACCTCATTAATGTTTGCCAAAAGTAAGCTAATATAAGCCAATTACTGTACAAATGTGGTAGAGATCATGATTACCATCTAAAGGGGAGCCATTCTGAAACCACAACAGGTGCTGAACTGTTACTGGCAGAACCTACAAGTAAACACTAATGATAGCCTCCTCACTGCTACTAGGTCACAAATGTCCCCAGCCTATTAAACTCTGACTCCACCCAAAGTGTTGCCTTTCTAGCCACCACCTCCATTAAGTCCTATCATTGAATGAGAAATGCTGACAGAAAAAAACAACAGTGAGACTCCCCTGTAGTACTACGAGAAGGTAATTCCTGATATGACCGAATGCAGGATGCCAAAAGAATGTCACAACAATCCATCATCATTTCCAGCAGCCAAGCATGGAGCAACTGAATGTGTTGTCAACATGACTGTGTTGCTTTCTGACTGCAGTGATTTGTCATTTGGGAAGGGATTAAGTGTTCTTCGTGTAATCCTCAGAGATGACTTAATCTGCTTGATTAGAGGACTAGTTGTCACACTGCAAAAAATGGTTATCTGACTGATAACCTGTCTTTTTCTTTATGAATGATTGGTTAACCGATGAAGATGACCGGCTTGTTGTTGGAATGGCAACCAGCCTGTTTTTGTACGACGACTAGGCCAATGCATTCATTTAGGTTGAGGCAGAATGAATAAACGAAAAGAAAGTCACTAACCCAGTCACTTAGTTTGCAAGTAAGACAATGGGAACATTCCAAATCCCTTATGTGATTAATCCACAATCCTCGATCTTCACAGGACCCGGAAATTGATCCGACACTCCGATGCTCTAATCCTGCCTCTAAACTTCCTGTTGGTGATTCTTGTATAAATAAGGCATGTTTGTATGCACTCATTAGATTGAGCCACTAACATCACAATGGAAAAGTTCAAAGAGGCCAGTACAGATTTGAGAAAGCACCACGTCACTGATGATCTTGGAACTTCAGGTCCATCTTGGACGTGAAGGGGCTTTCCAATAGGACAATGATCCTAAACAAACATTGGAAGTGGTTTGGGAATGTTTTAATGCCTTCGCAAAGTACTTACCACAACCTCATTGAAAATGTGTTGACAGCCCTGAAAAGACAATGCAAGAAAACCACTTTGAATTCTACAGATTCTGCCAGGATGAGTGGTTAACGATCCAACCAGCAGTCTTCCGGAAACTTGGAAGAAAACACATACCAAAAGTGGCTGACTGAGGTGAAGTGACATGCAACCAAAAACCAGCTGTGCTGTATATTTTTCACTCATTGGATATTGATAGATTTTCAGAAGACACACAATTTCTTTGTTAAGAAGCCAAATTTGGGAATGTTTTTTGTGAAAAAGGAAGAGCGGTTTCCAATCATTTTGCAACAGTTGCATACGGATATACATATTAAAATAACAGAAAAAATTATAATCCCAATATTGTCATTATACAGTACATGTCCTTTACAAGTGTATGTTGCAGTTGACTGTATTGCAATGAGAGATATACTATATTTACATAATCCCTTTACCCTAAAACATTTTCACATATTATTCTGATCACATCCTGAATTATTAAATAATACATTTACAAGCAGAATATCACTAAATACAGACACAAATAACAAATTTGGCATGTGGCAAAACAAAAAAGTGGAAATACTAGGCTCACTCCAAGGAATCAAAAGATTCTACAGAAACCAACTGACAGACTCTCCTTGCGTCTTTAGTAAAAGGCACTAGGAGGATGTGCGGAAAAGGCCCAAGTGAAGGTAATGTGGATAAGGGAATTGAGATGTACCCACAGGGAAGCAGACAGGTATTCTGACAGGTTTTTTGTCCATGAACTTAAAAATTTTAGAAACAAATATTTTATTTTCTAGACAACCCACTGACATGGGTAGAAGTGGAAAATATACAGGTGACTGGGTCGATCTTTCTTCGCTGCGAGGTGACCGCAAACATGGTGAGCGGCAGCTTAATAAACACTTCCACAGGACAGGACACCTGTCACAATGAAATGTTTTCCCACAATAATCATCTGAATGCACTTACAGCCAGCTCTGTGCAACAGCTCAGTGCGCCGCTGGTCAGCACAGTTACCTACCATTAAATCAAGCCATAACAATACTGACTAATGAAAACAGGATTGACCAATTTGAAAACGAGAAAGAAATTGAGATTTTCATTCAGAATTCCATTGGAAAATGGAACAAACAAATCACACTGCACTCAGTTTGTAAGTAAGTGCTATTAATATTTATGAAACAGCCATAATTTGTATAAACAAAGCTTATACTTCAGAGCACATTACTTGTTCCCATGCATCCTTGCCTCTTTTCACTGCAGTGTTCTTCAGGCTACCTCTCCTTTATTTATTTCCCATTTTAAAGATTTCTTTCTCTGGTCCAGAGGCAGTTTCAACCACAACACTATCTTAAATAGGAGAATGAAAAGATTAAAAGAGAGGACAGGAACAGGAGGAGGAGGAGATGGTGGAGGAGGAAGGGGCTTTGGCTCAAGGTCTGATCGCTATGTAAAAAAAAGGCCTTGTGATATATTTGCTCGTTATGTACAAACATAAAGACACCTCCATCCACCTGAACCTAGTCATTGCTAACACAACTGCGAGGGGAGAGGCTGGTGCAGTCATAAGACACTGCAACAGAGAGGCAAAGATATGCACAAACATTTGCACCCAAAACAAAATGACAACACACACAGGTGGAGAGCGTTTGTTTGTTTCTGCATACATTAGTTAAGGGTGAGTAGCTTTACAAGCCCAGTGTGTATCCACTGTACAAGCCTAACATACTGTATCTGAGTGAGAGTGTGTGTGTGTGTGTGTGTGTGTGTGTGTGTGTGTGTGTGTGTGTGTGTGTGTGTGTGTGTGTGCGCGCTTATGTCTGTCTTAGTAATCTTCTGCTAATGACCTGTAGTAGCTTGAGGTTACTCTTGGTCACACTCGCATTAACAGCCAGTCATTTATGGACATCAAGCTGTAAGAGGTAGTCTAATAGAGCTTTCCATAAGAGCCAGCTGCCAGCCAAAGAGCTGACTACCCATTTAAGTTCAGCTGTTACTGTATTAATTTTTGATTGTAATAAAATAGTTGTGCGATTCGCCATGCGTGTACATTTTACAAACATTAGCCTCCGCTTCAAAACAATGCGAGTATGATATAGAGAAACATACCTGTCTGTCTGCATCAGTCCCGCCCACATGTCGTTCATCAGTGTGTGTGTGTTTGCGCTTCATAATGGCCTGACGTTTAATGGCAGAGTACATTAATATGAAAATATAAAGACACTTGACAACATTATTCGTTTGTGACAATCACATAGCGACAGTAATCATAGTTAACTAGCGAACAATGTTTCTTCTCAAACGAGCCATAACTTTCCTCTTACGCATGTGTACACAGTGATAGTCCACCGACAATAACAGTCAGTTCGTTACATTGTCAACATCTGTTATATTGTGGCTTTTGTTTGTTTTGTTTTTCTGTTAATGTCCTTGTGTTTTTCGAATTTGCAAAACATTTTGGTTATGCAGTTCTTTGACACATCTCGGCCACCTAATCCTTTGGTCAGTACAATATAAGCAAACAGCGTCATCCCAAGGTCCTAGTGCCCAGAGTCAGACCGTAAAACCTATTTTAGTTTACTTACGTAAAGAAAAACTGAAACTTAAGAAGCTGGAACCACTGTATTTTTACTCATTCTGTTTGCGGCTTTCGGGTCAATTAGTGTTTTTTGCAGGTGTGGTAAGTGATTCTAATCCAATCCATGTCTTTTTGTTTAATTCAGCGAATTTGTCGGTTTGTGTGTGCGCTGTAAAAAAGTCCGGTGTTTGTACATAGCCCTGGCTCTAGAAAAGGGAAACAAAGTGGCCGGCACCCGACCACACAACCGTACTCCAGCTGTTCCAGCCATGATTTGTGTGTCAGGCAACATTAAATGACTTGCCCACGGACATTCAGCTTACTCTCCAGTTCACCAAGATACGCTCCTGTTATGATGTAAGCTATAGCGGCAGGAGAGTTGAGAGTTTCACTGTCTGTAGCTTGTGTGCTGGCTTTGGGACCGTCTCGCACTGGGACCGTCTCGCGTCTCGCTCCAAGTCATTACATCTTAAAATCGAAAAGCAACTCTCATTCTAGCTGAGCAGCCCTTTGTATTCACCAAGCTGCAATTTTTTCATATGTACATCCTTGCTGGTAACCATAATTATGCATTTTTTATGAGTGCTATTATAGTGATCACATTCTTTTATGTATTAGTATCAGGGCATGGCTGCTTTCATCGGAGTATCACTTTAGCTTACAGTGTACACTGAACGGTAGGCTAATAAACCTAAGTGTTCTCATCTTATTTTAATAACTATTCAGGTGCATGGCCTAACTATCACCCATGGCTATCTACATCTTTAAGAGGATATTGGTACAGTATAGCCACGTGAGATCTGAGTAGCTCTTTCTACGATTACATCCTATATGACTGTTGCCAATCAACCATGCATGAGAGGGAGGGGGCAGTGGAAACAACCACATACTGTTGAGTACAAAACAGGCTAGAGCACTCGCACAAGTAGGCCACTTTCTGTGCGAGTGTATTTTCTGGGACATTAGGCAGCCAGGATGTGTTTCAGAGTAACAGAAAGTTTGATAATAACGGCTTGTTAGATGACCACAGTGTAGTGTTTCCGCTTTGGTGACTGATTCGAACCTCGTTTACTTTAACAAGTGCTCTTACTTAAATGTGCAGCATAAAACCATGCAAGGCCCTATTCTGGTCATCATTACCCAGGGCTCTTGGTTTCTGCAGAAACAAGGCTCAGTACAGCAGCACCCTCACTTGTGGTGCTGATCTAAATGTCCACACGTTTCCTAAGACACTGTGAGACAGTGAGAGGGATTAACATGTCCTTTAAAAAGTCTCATCTGCCAGCACTGTCAATGTTCCCAGAAGCAGATTCAACTTTTGTTTAGCTCACTTTTCCCGGCATTCATAATGAAGTGACAGGCAACAGATGGTCGGAAGAAAAAACAAAAAACACCCAGGCTACTGCCATGCTGAATAATAACTGCCTGTAATGAGACAAAGTACGCTGCCAGGTGCCATTCTAACTTAGGACAAAATCGTAAACCTTAATAGAAGTAGCTACAAAGTCGTATTAAATTGGAACACAGTCTCAGTCTCGATACACATTGTTATTGTAAATGTTTTTTTTATCAAGCCACTTATTTTCATTTGATGTCAAGCCTGGGGACAAAGCAAGAGGAAGAGAGGAGGGTGCAGATATGATAAACTTTAATTAGACCTATTAGACACATTCTGCTTTGTTTGTAGTTGGAGGCTAAACAAGGGTCTCAGCAGAGTCTCAGTCAACAAAATTGGACACAAGAATAATGAAGAAACAGTAAGAACTAGAAGAAAGCACTATCTTTTTTCTGGCCCACTAATGCAACCCTCAGGCCAACCACGTAGTTGGCTGAACAAAAATAAAAGTCAGTCATGACGTGCATTTTTCAAAGCCAACATCATGTCCACGTTATTTTAGTGCAGCCTTTGAATGGTATGTGCCAGTTTGTGTTTGCAGATTTATGATTTGTCCCTTTTCGCTTATTTTCTGCTTTTCACCTCTGTTCTGAGACATGAGAGAAAGTGTACACAACAAAAAGCAACCAATATCCATGTGCTCTTTTTAAAAATGTCATCACTGCTCTGGCCATCATTAAAGTATGCCCTTGTGTTGCATTCAAGGCTGAATTGAGGTCAGTGCAATGATATTAGCAAACATGTTTTGAAAAAGGATAATAGGAATTCAACAACCCTCTAACCCTGCCCTTGCACTCACCGTCTTGATCGCAGCATTCCCTCTACTCTGGTGCTATTATTTCACCATGCAGTTATATAAACAAGGATATAAACAATCAATGCCCTCTTAACAGGTCCATCGGCTCTCTCTCTATCAAATTAGATGGGCAATGTTGACTCAGGTCATAGTCTAACCACATTTGAACTCTGTGTGAAGGGAACAAGCTGGTCACTTCAGTGCAGGAAAAGCTCATAAGAATGGGAAATTAATCTTGGTTTGAAAACACCTTTTAGAAAAGTAAGCTACTCTCAAATCGGAACTTACATGTCGGGGGTTTCCTACCGTTAGTGAACACACCAGCACAATTCAAATCAGGATGCACTTGCAGGCACATTATGCAAGTTTGACATAAGAAATATTGTAAGTTTTTAGATAATGTCTAGCTATATCAGTGATGAGAGTTTAGGGCAAGTTTGCAAAGTCTACAAGTTAATGTCCATAGTGTATGAACATGAATCTAACAGTGAAACAATGGCTGCCCAAAATCCGTTGAAAAATATTAACACGTAACGTTAGCTAGGCTATATCAGTTAGGGTTAAAGTGGGCGTTTGAGGATTCAACACACAAAAACCGAAACGGTCGTGTGAATTAGAAAAAAGGAAAAAACCTGTAACGACAGCGGGCGACTGTTAGTTAGACTTTGATGTTCACGACTCCATCCAAAGACGTTAGCTAACGTTAACGCAAACTGCGTTGTTGAATAACGTCCCCAATGTGTCCGTTATGTTTTAGTAGTGGAGTCAGCGACTGAATTAAACGCTGGAGTTTGACGTTAACGTTAGGCCTCGAGTTAACGGTTTCAATAAACCCCTGAACGGTCGGACTTTTTTTTTTTTATATCAGTAACATCAGGTGGCAGAACACGAAAACCATATAATCCGCTATTTGACCCCGAGGAGACAGTGTGGCAGGCGGTTGACATAAAACAATAACGTTAGCCCTTAATTTTCTTTTAGCAGTTAGACATTTGATGAACGTTATAACGAGAAAAAACAAGTCTTCTTACCGAGCACGTAAATCGTAGCAAAGTTTCATGAACACTGAGATTGCCTTTAGTCTGCTTTATCCTTCAGTACACCTGCTGCTCAGGACGTCCAAATTAGCGCCAGTCTCACGGCGAAAACTGCTCACTTGGTCCATCCATCCCAGCGATATCCGCTCGTTTCTGTACACCGATTGAATGTCGTCTCCTGCTTTGAGTGCTGAGCGATTAGCCAGGCGGACAGCGGGAGGAAAAAAACCAGTTGCGTCCCCCTCCTGTCTGGAGAGTTTCCCCTGGTCGTAGCTTGCGGATACTAGCTTGCCTTCGTCTCTTGTTGATTTCGCAGAAACGGGCAGGGAGCGCTGAGCAGGGCCGAGGAGGTTTCGTCAGTGTCGTTCGGCGCTGCTTTCTTAAAGGGGCCGTTAGCGGTGAGTGATGCTTCAGAGACGGGATGTGAGCGGAAAACACAGCCACCTCTCCTTACCACCGCCCTGTGGCTGCAGCTATCATCTACTGTTAAATAATAAACAGGCGGGTAAACAATGGCCTCATTATAATGTAATTAAGCATAAGGCTACTGTAAATCACTCCAGAATAATAATAATAATAATAATGTTACTGTAATATTATACTGTAATATTCCCACTGACTCTTATTGTGGTGCTATCAACTTGGTTTATATCTCCTCTATGCAAGCATACTACTGTATGAAAATGCTTGAATGCATGTTTAAAAACGTCCCATGGGTGTAATTTGTCGTATAGTGACACCCACCCACTATATTTGCCCATTATTAGTCATTATTTGGTCAGTTTTCTGCAAGTGTTAATTTAAACTAAGTATTGAGCATTTAACGAAATTCTTCTTAAAATGAACACAAATAAATAAACTAAATCTGAACTTTCATTTCATTATTTCATTTATCATTTCTAGGAAATTTACAGAACAGTAAAACCGCGTTACTCTTCCATTTGCCAAAGGTCTGAGTGCTGTTTCAAAGCATTCTCCACTCACACAGCAATACCATTTTGGTGAGAAAATACTGAATCCTGGTGGGGAAAATACTGGGTCAAATAAGTACTGAAATTAGCCTAAACATGTGTCCTTTCTCAATTGCCTAATATAAAATACCCAAGGTTGCAAAATACCCAAAATTCCCAGAAACAATACTGAGGAAATGAACTTACTGTGGTTAATAATAACATTAATTTATATTAGTCTAAATAAAGTACTTTACAAACATCATTAAAAAAAAAAAAACAGGATCACTAACCTTTGCATGCTCTTTTTGTCCGTCTATGAGATGATTCTTGTCTTGATGAAGTGGTCTTGAGTTAACAGATTCCTCTGACAATCCTCTTGTCGCTGCACTTACACTGTGAAGGAATTTGGGATCAGATGGACAAAGAAGAAAGGGTTTGAAGGACCGAAGAGCGAAATGGATAGAAAGTGAGAGAGAAACAGGAGTCAACTGACTCCTGACCACTGAGATGAGACCATAGATTACAGGGATATAATCACAAGTACTTTCTGTCTGCAGCCTACCAATGAGGCCAGTGAGGATCAGTGTAGTCTTGCTCTCACTAGAGCTTTGGCCTTGTTGTCCTGCAGCTGCCATGTTGCCACCACCTCCTCACTACAAACATACTGTCTGTGAGCAGCCTACACAAGAATTCAACATGTTAGCATGAAAGTGGATCAGACTTCTATCATCTTTTCCTCTTTATTCTTGTTTGCTTTCTGCATTTAAAAACAGACAGTCAGAAAAAGTCAACGCTATGTCTTACCATTTCCCAGATGCAGCTTACATTGATGAGCAGTCCATGTTTGTTTGGCTTTACCTGCTGCTGGAGACTATAAATGGCTGATGAAGAGTGTCAGTGCATGTTTTGCTTACCCTCACATTTGTGTAGGCAAATGTCTGACAGAGAGGACTTTCCATGTCAGGTCCATGAGTACTTTCTGCAGACCTTGCCAGATCAGATATGGTATATTTAGAGTCCTGGATTTCTAGAGAAATGTCCCATTGTACTTTGCATTACTTATCAGATGATATGAAAAGCAGCATGGAAACTGAAGAGTGTGACTCAAGCAAAAATATAGGCAATCCTTCAATGCCACTTATTATAATACTTAGCTATCATTTCACATTAATGTAGCTATTAATACAGATTGCTATCTGCTGTGCACCACCTGACTGAAGTACTGAAGTGGTTGGTGGACTATGTTTTAAAGCACTCTTGACTTCCTGTACTAATGTAGGTTTGAATGGACATACTGTTTTTTTTCCAGGCAACATCAGACTGTTTATGATCAATGTTTTTATATTTGCAATGGGTCACATGACTGCTATTATAGGGTCGCTTGTAGTGATGAACCCACAGAGAATTATCACACAACAGTTCCGCGTAGATCTACGCACCTTTGTAGCATCTTTCAGCTCGTCGTCTTACTTTATGCTGCCTGTCCAGCACCAAACAGCAGCCAGACAAATTTAGCAGCGAGCTGGTGAACATTGAATGAGAGTCAGAATCAGCTTTATTTGCCAGGTATGTGTACACATTTGAGAAATTTGACTCAGGATTGCTCACGATGTGCTTACTTATACAATAATAAAATCACACACAGGCTACAGTTTAGAGAACACATTTATACACACTATAAACTCAAACAATATAGACAGATTGAGACAATAGTGTAATGAGCAGAGTGCAAAGGATGCAGGAGTAAAATTATTATTATTATGTACATGTTGGAGGTGGATTAGATATACAGGTACACATACACATACATGTCTACATGTACTCATGTACACAGTGTGATGGAGCACAGTGCAAAGAATGCTGGAATAAATAAGTGTTATGTGCAGGTGTTATGTACTTGAGGTAGGTGGATTTGGTATACAGTATCTACAATATGAACAGTATGAACAGCTCTGAAATAGAGAATGATGAATAAATAATAAGTGTTAGCCAGTAAACAGGTGGCTGAATAGGCAGTTACTGGGTTATTGCACAGAAGTTGTTCCTGACACTGTGAGGCAGAAATCAGCTGTTCATCAGAGTGATGGCTTGTGGGAAGAAACTGTTCCTCAGTCTGTTGGTTTTGGCATACAGTGACCTGTAGCACCTACCAGAGGGGAGAAGCTAGAACAGGTTGTTTTCGGGGTGAGATGGATCTGCAGTGATGTTTCCTGCCGTTTCCTGACTCTGGAAATGTATAAGTCCTGAATGCATGGCAGGTTGGCACTGATGATTTTTTCTGCAGACCTGACTGTCCGTTGTAGTCTGCTCCTGTCCTTTTTGGTGGCAGATCCAAACCAGACAGTGATGGGCGTGCAGAGGACAGACTGGATGATGGCTGTGTAGAAGTGGATCAGCAGCTCCTCCTCCCGTTGGTGCAGAGGGAGAAGAGCAGTGGGGAGAGCACACACCCCAGCTAAATAGCCTGGTTGCTGGATATGATGTTCCCCAGCATCACCTGCTGATTCCTGTCAGTCAGTAAGTTTTCCTCTTTCACAGAGTCAAACTCTGAAAAAAACAAACTCTGGCTGAATTTAGCGGTCATCATAGTTTCTCCTACACGCTTTGAATGGGAAGATGAGGGGATGAAGGGTTATTAATTGATTGCAATCTGCAACCTCACCACTAGATGTCACTAAATCCAACAACACACTTGTCTTTTAAAAGGCTGGTCATAAAATCAGTTTTTGCGGGTTTAAGGCTTAGTTGGAGAATTCAGTCTAGACACTGAACATAATGAGATACACCTTTACAGTCATATGCAAGATAGTAAAATAGCCATGCGATACTCTTATTAAATACATTTTTTGTGGAGATGTAGGCATAGAGGTGTTTCCACAGTATTGTAATATTTCTGGCCATGCTTGATGGTGATGTTGTTGTGAACTGCATTATCTTGAGTGGTGTTTCTAATGTTTATCCACCCCTATTTGCATACATGAGGGGGACAGAATATTAGAAATCTTGCAACTATATTATATATATAATACTAGTATTATGTTCCTCCTGGTAATGCACCGAGACAAATCTAATACTTTTCCTAAGTTCAATTAAAGATTTTGGAGGAGATTTTTCCACAGGAGACCAATTTATCACGGAACTATTTGATCCAATATGGAAGGCAAAAACCAACCTATCGCCTAACTCTATCTTTAAACATGATTTTTAGCTCAAACATAAGTGAAATCTGTCTGTTGTCTTGTCTTTCTCACTGTTTTAGGCTGCTTAGTTCTTGCAGTTTCTTTTAGCAGCAGATGCTGTATCATTGGAAATTACCATCCAAATTTGATCATCAAAATACTGTAAGCTCAGGATTTGTGTAGACATCAGAGATGGTGCACAAAACAAGGGGACTAATACTTCTAGAGGGGATTCCCCTTTGTCATGTTTAACACAAACATGTGCACATACAGCATACACACAATGGGTTTCTGGCCCATGATCCTCTTCAGATTTCTTTTAGCACCACTAAAGTACCACTGCTGAGATTTCCCAAATCCTCCCTCTGCACTCATTTAGAAACCCTGTGATAAACCTCTTAATCCCAAACCAGTATTTTCTAGAGGGTTGCACAACCACGCGTGTCTTATGCAACTGGCAGAGCATTCAGAGTCAATTATAGAATAGTTGGGAGGAAGGGGAGGATGGACGGCGAGGCTGCTGATGCAAAACACAAGGAAAAGATTGTTGATTAAATACTAGCACGTTGTCATTTTGGGTTCATTTAAGCAAACAATTATGCATGATTTCAGAAAAAAGTATTTTTCAATGTCTGCGTCAAGCAGTACATTGAGTTATTTGAGAGCTGTTTAAATTGTGCGAATTTGTGTTGCTATCAATTTAGATTCTGTTTGAATTGCTATACTTCTGAGGACCCTCCACTGATGACACTCAAGTCCTATTAAAGTTACACTACCACGGCCATTGTGTGTGCAGCATCATTTCAGTGTTGCTTTACAACATAAACCCCACATCTATCCCCTAGCACTAGCCGAAAATTGATCCCTTTGCCTAACCAAAGCCCGTGTCTAATTGTACTCAAAGAAAACATAGTTTTAGCCAACTATAGTGCATCATTTTTTAAATGTGTGTCTCTATGAAAAAGTATCACCCATATCAAGTTTGAGCTGGTAATAATTATCTGATGCATCTGACACTTTGCAAGGCAAAACCCCTGCCCAAAGTCAAAGTTTGACTTGTCAATCCTTATAGAGAGCAATAGTGAACCATAGTTCAGGCAACAGTAGTTTTAACAGGAGTTTTTGAAATGTTTTAGGGCTGTAGAACCATTTTTACAGCTACAAAAAGCAGGATATTGTGCAGATTTTTCTAGTAAGCTTCTTTATATGAATGATGGGCTTTCAACTTGAACACAAAAATGTTTTGCCAAATTTAATAGTAAAAAA